CCACACCCTCAGCAGGATGAACTTTCTCTGCTTGTACCCAGCACATACTTGAAGAAACTAAAAATAGCCAGATGGCAATTAACAGAAACTCTGAGGAGGGGAGTGGGGAGGGTTCCAGCAGGGTCAGTTTCCTGAATGGATTCCAAATGGAGCTCTCAGCCTGCAGTGCTCTGGCCAAGTATGAAGGAGGCAGAACGAAAAATCAAAATTTGAAAGATTTAAAATTATAGCAGAGGTGGAAACTACTGCGCCGTCCCCAAGACCGTCAATAATAATACTTGCTACGATGTTCTGAGTTCATATATGAGCCAGATACTGAGTGCTTCATACACATTGTATCATCTTGACCTTGCAAGGACTCTAGGAAGTAGCTACTGCTCTTACAGATAAGGAGATTGAAGCCCAGAGATGGTAGATAACCTGCCCAAGATCTCAAGACAAACAGGGCAAAGGTCTATGGTAGGTGCATGGTAAATAGCCAAGCTGGTGTTTAAACTCAGCTGTATGGCTCCAGAACTCATGAACATAACCATTGTTCAATACTGTCTCAAACATTCGCAAGGATGTTTAAGAAACCACAATGTTTTTACCCTATCCTTAAATCCAGAAAAACAAAAGTCTCCCTTGGCAATTTTAGCCAACCTTCACAGAATCATTACATTTCAGAGGTTATGTGTGTGGGCTATAAAGTAGGACTAATTGGGTTCAAATCCTGGCCTTTTCATTTACTAGTTGTACTAAATCAGGTAAATTATCAACATTCTCAGGCCTCAGTTCTCTCATCTCCCTAATGGTAAAAATATTAGTATTAATCTCCTAAAGCAGTCAAATAAAACTGCTATAGACCGAATGTTTGTGCCCTCCAAAACTGATATGTTGAAATTCCAGTCCCTAGTGTGATGGTACTTGATTATCTCACCTTTGGGAGGTAATTAGATAACCAAAGTTGGAGCTCTCATAGTGGGATTAGAGCCTTATAGAAAGAGACAGGACAGAGCTCGCTTCCTCTTCCTTATGTGGTCATTCACCTTTTCTCTTTTTCCTCGTAACAGAAGTGATCCATCTGACTGGGAAATAGAACTGAGCGTGCATAGCCCCAGCTCTTGGAAGGGGCCAGCCTACCCACTTCCTACCCAAGCTTGTGCTCTTGAGTCCCCATGTAGAAGATTGCTGGGCAGGCTCTGGACTTGTCTGGGGAGACCAGTTGTTCAGCATACAAGTGGGTAAAAAATTTCCGTTTCGGAGAAAAACTGAGTAAGAAGCTTCATTTGGACACAAGTCCAAGCCCTTTTCGCCAAACAACATTTCCAAAAATAAAGCTGATATTGTGATTTTTTTTTCTGACATCTGTGTCTACTTCTATGTCAGTTCAGAACTTAGAGGGGGAAAGGGATATAATCAATTATCAACCATGTGATTAATTATCACCTTCATAAATCCCAATAGATGGATGGATGCCTATCTTATTTCATTGGTAGATCCATTTCAGGCTGGCAAGAAAAGAATATTGTGTAGAATCAAAGGTTAGAGCTGGGGTTGACCTTAAAGACGATCTGGTCAATATTTTTATTTTTATAGATGAAAAGATATACAAATGGCCAAGTGACATAGTTTATGTGAAATTCTGTGAAAGAGCCATCTAACTCAAATTCTTACTATGATTCATTGTTTTGGGAGTGGTCTTTAGATCTGTAACCAGAATTAAAATCAGATTATAGATAGTATAGAAAATACATTATAGATAATAGAAAATAGATCATAGATTCAAATTAATCAACTTCAGAGGAAGAGAAATTTCCCTAAATAAAAGTATTACCTTCAGAAAACATTTTCAACCCATGGAGAAGCAATCAATAGCTGAGAGTTGATTTTTTTCTTCTTTTTAATTGGCAAGAAACCTACCTTAGGCTAATAAGACTGCTTACCCACAATATTGAAGAGTAGATAAGTTGTCAAAAGAATCAAGTTTTTTCTCCTCTATCTTCATTCTGCCTACCTACCATAACCAGGTAATACTCATTAGGAATGTTTACTTTATAACTGTTAACCAGGCATGCCTCACTGGCAAAGCAAGTGTCCTGGCGCCTCAAGACAAATGACAAGACATATGAGACTCTTCAGCCAAACACAGCCATTTCTGGTCTTACTTTTGTCTCCTGACATCACCGTCACCCCTGCCTGAATACCTAGATTTGGCTTTTAGAACATGTCCTGTCTTGAGTAAGTCAGAGAAAGACCACTTCACCCTGTCTCTCCCACTGAGTACAGCTGTAAAACCTGAAGAAGTTGAAGACTTTGAAAAGTACATAGTATCAGGTAGATTGGGGAAGAAGTCTAAAATGTGAAATGTTCTCAAACCACATCCCCTTAGCCTCAACCCATGACTTGAACTCGACACACCAAAAATGGGCCCAAATGTGCAAACAAGAGAGGTCTTGGAGATGCCTTCCAGCTCTGGATCCAGTGTGGGGAAGGGGAAGTCCTGATACTCAGAGAGAGTTTGGAAATTCGGTTTCTTCCTTCCACTTTTCCTCTCCCAGTCTCTCTTATCCCTTTCTCACCACACCCCTCTTCCCTTCTTTTCTTTTCCTTCCCTTTCCTCTTTTCTATGTTCTACCCCTCAGCAATCTTGTGGTAGTCACCGCATCACATAAGCATCACAGGAGCCAAGACTATGAGAGAGGGGCACCTTCCTCTGCATTCAGTGGGGCCATCATTCCTAAATGTGGGAGTCAACCCCCATTGCTCTTATTCTCTTTGTCCTTTCTTTCACTAATATGTAGGCAAAGTCATGGAAGTGCATAGCAGAGTGAACTTTTTTGGCTCAGAGACTGAAAAGTGGTACCAGGGAACCAAAAAGTACTAGAGAGATCATGGAGGGGAAGGAACTTAGCAAGGCAACCCCAAAAATATCAACAGTATAAACTTTAAAAAAAAGACCTAGAGTCTCATAACATAATATTCAGGATGTATGAAATACAATCCAAAATTGTGGGGCACGTTAAGAATCAGGAAAATCTCAATGTCCTGGGAAAAGATAATCAATCAAGTGAAGCTAACACAGCAGTAACACAGATGTTAGAATTATTTGACAAGAACTTTCAAGAAGCTATTATAAAAAAGCTCCAACCAGCAATCTTGAACGGTGCTGAAACTGATAGGGGAAAAAAAAAAGTCTCAGTCAAGAAATAGATGACATAAAGAGGAGCCAAATGGATATTTGTAATCGAAAAATACGATAACCAAAACAAAAATTCTCTCATGAGCTTAATAGCAGAATGGAGACGCCAGAGGAAGGGAAGCCATGGGCCAAATGACTTTTAACTGGAGGCCTGTTTATCACTACTTTTCACGCATCTTTTCTCTGCTTTAATTAACTGTTGCTACATAACAAAACACATCAAATTTTACTGTCTTAAAATGGAAACAATTATTACTTCTCCCAATTCTATGGGAGGGCTGGGCAGTTTCTCTGCTGTTCTTGCCTGGATTCACTCATGTTTCTGCATTTGGAGGGCAGGGGTGTTGGACTGGGAGGTCCAAGATAGGCTCTCTCAGAGGTCTGGCAACTGGTGCTGGCTGTTGACTAGAGTATGTCAGTTCTCCTCCATGTGACCTCTCAACATCCAGTAGGAAAGACTGGGCTTTCTCAAAGTATGGTGGTCTCAGGGTTCCGAGAAGGTGAGACTAGAAGCCGCAAGGTTCATTAAGGCCTAGGCTCTGAAACTCATTCAATGATCCCTCTTGACACATTCTACTGATCAAAATACATCACAAAGAAAGCATAGAGATAAGGGGTAAAAAATAAGACTATCTCTCGATGAAAGGAGCAGCTACACAACTTTGCAAATAGATGTGTGAACACGGAGAAGCATGAATCATTAGGGTCATTATTTCGATGTCCTACCACACCCTTCCTGGGGAATAAATACTTTGCTGAAAGGCAATGAATTTACAATTATTATGATAGTAGAGGCTCAGAGAAATTTACGGTTTTGCTTCAGATCACACAGCTAGTTAGGGAGAAAATGTGAAACTAGATCTTATGATCTCTGATTCCACTGACCACTGCTCTTATATCTGAGATGAACTGTATAGTATTTTGACACGTTGGCTGTTTAACTCATAGGAGAATAAAGAACAACAAAGGTATAATGTGTTTGCAATCATTCATCATTCAGATACATTTTGTGAAGGAAATAAATGCAGGCACTTGTGGAGTCTATGAAAAAAAAACTGAAGTGACAGAATAAGAGGTATTCATTATGTAGCAATAAAGCTCCTAAGCTGTTCTCTGCACCAAAACTTATGCATTCAGTCTCTTGAGTTCCTGGCACTGAAAGTTTAATTTCTTTATTGAAGTAAATTCCCATAACATAAAATTAATTGTTAATCATTTTAAAGTGTACAATTCGGTGGTATTTGGTACACTATCTGGTATTCCCATCACTTCTATCAAGTTTCATGATATTTTCATCACCTCAAAAGGCAACCTGGTACCCACTAAGTAACCACTTCCCCATTTCCCCATCACACAGCCCTAAGAACCACCAGTCTGCTTTCTCTCTATGGATTTGCTCATTCTGGATGTTTCCTATAAATGGAATCATAGGCGTTTTTGTAACAGGCTTCTTTCACTTAGCATGTTTTTGTGGTTCATCCATGTTGAAATGTGTATCAGCATCACATTCCTTTTTATGGATAACAGAAATATAAATAATACTCATAATAGTCCATTGTATTAGCTATACTACAGTTTGTTTATTCATAAGTTGATGAGCATTTGAATTGTTTCCACTTTTGGGATACTGTGAATAGTGTGACTTAACATCCATGTACAAATAGTCGTTTGAATACTTGCTTTCAATTCTTTTGAGGTGTGTAATTAGAAGTAGAATTTCTGGGTCACATGGTAATTCTATCAAAGCTTAATTTTTATTCTAGTTTTTAACCAGTCTTTTTAAATTGGTTTAAGATTAATAACCACCTGCCAGTGTTACCTTATCTCTAAAATCAATGTGGTTCTGGAGGATGGCTCTGTGGTAAGTGGCTGTCCTCACAAAATCTTGCATCATGTTCTGCTGCT